CGTGAGCTGGAAAATTATATCTTTCCTATGTTTAATTCATCGAAATGGTTTTGTTATTTTAAAATATGAAGAGAAACTTCATTTTCAATGTATTAGGCAATTGACAGCCTTTTGTAGCTAACATATTTTAAGAAATCGCAATTTATAAGCAAAAAGTCCGTTGTCAGTACATGTTAAGTTTATCTGGTCTGGTGTCATTTTTCTTAACATGTAAGTAAATCAATAAAATGCAACAGAAATGATCAAATATATGCTTATTTAAAAGAATACAAAGCATGTTACAAATATATTTGAATCTCGGGGTCGTCATAAAGCAGCTTACACCAACGTGCTATTCTGCGATGTTTTTATTTTCAATTCACCTGCATCCTAGCTAGTATGCAAACATATACAATTCCTTGTATATCATTAGTATAACAAAATTAAAATGTTATGCTTAGGTCAAATTTAAGCCGATGATCGGGCGACCAAACTATTTTCGTATCGTCGGCTGATAAAACAGTATCGGGCGACGCAGAGTAGTCATATCAATTCCTAGGGACGCCGATACCTTTAAAAGTAAAAATATTTATAAGTTGGCCAACCGTCACCCGATCATCGTTCGCTAGGCCGCAGTTTGATTTTCATCTTCGGCCGACAGTTGTATGAAAACCCAATTCCTAAATGTCGACTGACTGACGACCGACTTTAAAAACTGTGTGCCGATGGTCGGCCGATGATCGAAGGTTGGTGGACAGACTATTCAATGAGTGCTTCAATTGAATCGGCCACAGACGCAAACAAAAAATAACTTGACCCGACTGACATGCATAAAATTGATCGGCCGACGAAAGAAAGAGATAAAAATCGGGCAAGACTTCCGATAATATGAAACTTATGTGGAAACATCCTCAGGTAATGTAGATTCAAGTTTGTTCAAATTATGACCCCCGGGGGTAGGATGGGGCCACAGTGGGCTATCAAAATTTTACATAGGATAACATAGGAAAAATCTTTTAAAAAGCCATGATTTGTCATATTTATATGGAAGCATCCTCAGGTAGTGCAGATTCAAGTTTATTCAAATCAAAGTTTAACATAGGAATACCTAGGGGAAATCATTAAAAAATCTTATTCTCAAGAACAGCAAAAACGTGACTGGTCATAATAAAATAAAAGCATCCTCAGGTAATGCTTTCAAATTTGTTCAAAGCATGACCACACAGAGGGGCCAAACACGGGATCATAGTTAAACAAAGGATTATAAAGGACACATCAATAAAAATTTCTTCTTTAGAAAACAAAGCCATTATTAGTCATATTAGTTTAAAAGCATCTTTAGGTGGTGTAGATTCAGGTTTGTTCAAATCATACACCCCCCACCCCCCCACTTTAATATTTAAACTTTTGAATACCTAACTGATTTTTGCTATTTCCGAACCAAAGTGCTCAGGAGAGCGATGTGGCCCATGGTCCTCTTGTTTTTGGTGGATTTGTGAATGTAATTGGTGTGTAAATCACATTGACGTATCTCGTATGATGCAGCGTGATTGTGACGGTACATTTTGTCGTCCTGTTCATATTGTCGCCGGCGACAATGTGTACATACACTCACTGAGCATAAATTTGACCTGTGGACAAATTTGAGAGTATATGCAGGTTAAAGAAACAGAATTTACAAAAGCAAAGAAAAATGAAAAAAATCAAACGGAGGGGGCAGGTTGGGATAGGGATGGGGGAGGGGGTGGGATGCGCCGGTGCTAGATCCGCCTTTGGTTCTTGAGAAGATATTAAAGAGTTTTTGTATACCGTATATTCCAACGGAAAACTTTTATCACCAATTGGGGACCCACTCTACCTATAGGGGTCATTATTTGAACAAAATTGATTTTGTTTGTTTGTTTCTTGTTTGAATATCCCTCTAGAGAATTTTTCACTCATAAGGAGACATCACCAGTTGCCAAAAATTTAGACCTATTCTCGGATCTCAGGACCATGAAAAGTGTGGGATCTTTTTCGTGCCAGAATCTAACAAAATAAAAGTATACTTCATGTATGTATCATCTCTTCTGATCCAGATTGATTGATTGTATGTTGTTTTACGTCCCATTCGAGAATTTTTCACTCATATAGAGACGACACCATATACCGGTGAAGGGCTTCAAATTTTGACCTTTACTCGGCACTCAGGGCCATTGAGCAGTGAGGGATCTTTATCGTGCCAACGCCTGTTGTGACACGGTCTCATCCAAAGGACCCGCAACTTTCACTTCAAAGTGCCGAGCGCATGGCGAAGGAACAGTTGCTACCAATTTTTAATCGACCTAGGTCAGTTGCGGCCGAGATTCGAACTCACGACCTCCCGATCACGGAGCAAGCGCTCTACCGACTGAGCTACAGTGAACGGTCTCTTCTGATCCAGAAGTTCTTGAGAAGAAAATTTTGAAAGAATTATTCTTAAATGTTCTATTAAAACTTTGATCACCTATTGTAGCCCCACCCTTTCCCAGACATGATCTGAATAAAAATGAATCTACACTTTATAATAAAGCTTTCACACAAGTTTCAACTTTTCTGACACAATGGTTCTTGAGATTATTTAAACATGTCACTAAATTTTCACTAACTATACATGTACTTTCTTGAAAGAGGATATGATCATTAATTTGAACAAACTTGACTCCCTTCATCCACGTTTGCTTTCTGGTAAATTTGGTTGAAATTGAAATTGGCCAGTAGTTCCTGAGAAGAAGCTGAAAATGTGAAAAGTTTACCAACAGACAGACGGACGATATAAGAAATGTGATCAGAAAAGCTCACTAGAGCTATCAGCTAAGTTGAGCTAAAAATATGTCAACCCCTACACCAATTATATCGGCACTCGTATGAGAATTAAGCCAAAAATTGAATTCCAAATACCTTTCAATCTAATATCCATGTATATATAAAGAGAAAAAAGAATAGACTGACTTTTCAGATATCTCAAGAATTACGGTATTTTGACATATCATAGTCATGTAAACCAATGCTGGACACAATTTTCTGAGCAACATTATTTCTCCCTACAGTATTGCGAGTAATGCTAAATAAATACAACTTGTTCACTTATTTATCAGCCAAACACTTTGTCTATCCTTCTGTCTGTCTAGCTCTCTCTCTTTCTCTGTGTATGTGTGTCAATCTCTCTCTCTCTCTCTCTCTCTCTCTCTCTCTCTCTCTCTCTCTCTCTCTTCACGACCTTAGTAAATATTCAACACAATATATCGGCGACAAAATGTGCCAATGGTCACAGTACATATTGTCGCCGACGACAAAACGTGCCGATGCTTGACTGTACATTTTGTCTTCCATTACGCAGGAGGAAGAAAAAGGCTTGTCTCGGCACAAATAGTCGCCGGCGGCAATATGTATCGATGGATCGATTTTAACGGCTGAGATTCATACAGCTCCAAATAGGGTGTCAGCCCTGTTTCCCATTGCAATTTCAGACACTGTTATAGATAATTTAACTTGAAAAATGAAAAACTTCTCACAGCCTGTCTTCTCAAGTCATGACACCGGACGGATTTTATCATGACCTCACCTGTATGTTCAGGACAACGAACCAGTTTCAGTGCTTAACTTTAAAGGTTTCTGACAACGGTACTGTCTAGGAACTTAACGTGTTCCTGGCCGTGGTATGTCCTTAAACCATGAGCGCATGTTTCTCTGTTAATCTCCCGTTGACACATTATTAATGCAAATATACAACTAACTGTTAAACGAAGACAAACATGCGCAGACTATGTGAAAAAGTCGGCGTCCCCATTATCGTATGGAGATTCAAGAAATTGTGATGACCCTTGTCTTTAAAAACAGCTTTGTATACTTCGTAAATACATATTAAATTTTATTTAATGTTATTACCTAAAGTTGTAGATCAGATGTTGACCATTCCTGCTATTCAAAGAAAAATGCCTGTTTTGAAATTTTATTTTGTGGCAATTGTCGCACGTCTTTAAGTGGAGTCATCCTTTCCTTTCAAATTCTATTTATGACAATTTATTGTTTTCCTTTTTTTTTTTTTAAATACCATCTTAGAGTGCTTTAATGATTCAAATCAAGAGTAAAGAGGAAAATCAAAGTTCCAACTTATTACTATAGTTAACTATAGTGTTTTTGTTAGAGGAGTAAGGTCACTTTATAAAAATAACTTATCTCGCCATCGTTTGAAATCGCTCGAGAAATATTTTCCTCCCACGGGGAACCATAAATTTGCTGTTTCCCTAACACCCATTCCATAACTGTATAACATTAAAGAAATTTATTAGTCCCCTACCGGTGAAACCGGAGGGGACTATAGATTTCCTCTGAGTCTGACCATCCGTCTGTCTGTCTGTCCGTCTAGCTGTCCCTCTGTCAGTCTGTCCCACTTGGTTTTCCGCACTTTTTTGAAACGCTTGCAGATACTGAGCTGATTTTTGGTACGAGTGTATCTTGATGAGTTACAGATTAACTTTGCATCTCGTTCCGCTTCAATGATTTTTGATGGAATTACGACCTTTTCAATTTTTCAGGGTTTTCAGCAAGTTTTTTCTAAACGCTTGCAGATATTGAGCTGAGGTTTGATATGCCTTTGATATGTGACTTTACCTTGATGAGTTATAGATTAAGTTTGCATTTCGTTCCGCTTCATTGATTTTTGACGGAATTATGGCATTTTCAATTTGTAACGGTAACCAGATTACACTTACCGGTAGGGGACTAGTATTGCTAATGCAATACTCCCAGAATGCTTGTTTATTTCCTGTTTATTAGCGTTATCATATGGACCTTACATCCATCATACTTATATGATTTTCAGAGTACATGTAGAAGTGCATTATAAATCAGCGCGTAAGGTTCCAAATATTATTTTTACTAAAATGTTTACCCAAGTCTTTTAATTTGTTTTGAATAAAAATGTAATTATTTTTGACTGTTGATAACACTGCAAAATCGGGCATATAAACATATTTATTTCCTGTTGATCTTGACACATCCTAAGGTTTTCCAAAGACCTTGATTTCGCACACTTGCAAAATATCTTTTTTACCAGAGTTAGACTGGATTGTCAAGGTTACATAGCGCCCTCTCGTGAGATTATTACAAATAACTGCGATACGGTCACCTAAGTCAGTTGGTCCTGGATAGAAACCACAGGTGTGATTCTGTTCATCATTAGAAACCGTTGTCAAGAGATTGTGGGTCCTTCCCGGCTCTGTAATAAAACAGAGTCTATTTTTCATTGATAAATGTCAAGTTATAATATGCCTTAAGAACAAATTGCTTTTTGTACACGTTATATTAAAATCTCAAAATCAAATTATTCAACCAGTCCTGGTAGAAGACAAATACTAGTTTTATATATGCTTTGTAAAAATACAGGAAGATAAAAAAAAAGTAATGATAGAAGTACGATTGGTTAATGTATAATTGTGATGGCTTTTGTTTGAGCCAAATATTATATCCAAGAGGCTGTTTTAAAACTCAGACGTTGTTACTTCCTACGAAGTAATTGGCATTAAAACGTAGGAAGATAGGTTATCTAACTTTGAAATCGTAGTAAAAAATAAAAGAATATCCAGTTTATAAGTTTGAGAGACCTTTGGAATGAATATCTATAGCTTGTTTAACAAGAATGAAGTTAAAAAGGTGCTAAACTTATAGTAAAGGAAAAGTTGTTTTATGAATTATAGTACGTCAATTGTATTTTTGCAACTAGCTGTTTATCACCTTGGCTTTCAACTAAGAATTTTACATTTTATTTGCATCTTTTTGCTGTGTATCAAAATTGATAGACATTTCTTGAGAATGTCAGAAATAAAATGTATTTGTTCAAAAAACATTCAAATATTAACATTTGCTGTGTTTTTCTACTAAACTTACTGTTAAATTGATTTGAATGCCATTTCCGTGTATACTCACGCGTAGAAATATAATTATACGATGAAACTCGCACTAAAGTGACGTCACAATTAAGGCTACAGGGACGTTAATAAAAATGTAACGATATTGGGCAGCGAGAAATTCAAACACTGAGTATATTTTTGGTGCTTTAAACATGTAAAATGTAAATATAAGGAATGTTTTTAAATTAAGGGTGAACTATTGGTGTGTAAATCACACAGACTTCCACGTAGGTATATTTTTCATAAAGCGCTAACGCGCTTTATGAAATATGCCTACGTGACAAGTCTTTGTGATTTACACACCAATAACTCACACAAAACTTAAAATCATTCCTTAAATATACACTCTGGTGACCTTGAAGACTGCAGCTCAAGACTAGATACCAGTATATTCTATGTAGACTCACCAAAACCATCAGGCCTAGCATATACCAGAACATGCTGAACATCAAACATCATTCCTAAATCTATCCTTAACCAAGGATTCTCTTCCCTCTGTGTGGCCGCCACATTGGTGTAAATACAATCAGTAATGTTGTCCACAGCGTATGAGGCGAGATGAGGGGGATATCCATTAGAGAACACTGAGCTCATGCTGGCTGAAGAACCCACAATCACTGAAATACAATATCAAATATATTCTAATATAGTCAAATATCAGTTTTATTCTTGATATTTTTAGACATTTCTGCTACTCTGCAATAATTTTGAAAGTGACAAGGTGTGTGATATTTCAACTCAAAAGCATAAAGTTATATTTATAATTATAATGGTTTATATATATCTGTTTCCCAATCCTAGACAAGAATCATTAATAAAAAAGAAAATTACATTATTATTCTTAAGAGTTCGTTAATAATGAAATGTTTGCTCAATCACCTGATATACTTACAATTCCTGCTGTCCAGAACCATAGTGTCAACCTATGAAAAATTGCAGGAAAATAAGATTATGGATGTACTTGTACCTTTATTTATTTTCCGAGCAATTCATTTTAACCAGATATAAAATTGGTTTCTTTTCTTTCTTTTTTTAAAATTAATTTTCTATTCTTTCACAAATACAATCCATCATCAAAAATGAAAGAAGAATAAATGCAAATTTTTGAAGAGAATTAGTAGAAAAAATTTCTCTTGTAAAATGCTGTCCTTTAAGCTAATTGGTCACGTGTATTAATTTTACATGTATGTTCAAATTACATCTGTAGAATTGTTAATTATATTGCAATGCGGCATCTTAAGGATATCTGCTCCGCATCCAGGAACGATAACTCTTAAAATTATTATTTCATTAAAAAAAATCTTAAAATGAAGTTTGGAATTGAAATCTCTTAGTGCATCAATTTTCATTTCTTGCATCTCAATATAATTCAAGGTTCTTTGAAGTCTTAGAAACGGTTCAGTAAAAGGTTGACATTCGTACCCAATTAAAGTAAAAAAAAAATAAAAATCATTTTTAGAGAAATCGAATTTCCTTTAATCAAGCTTTAGATACCAGTGGTTTTTTTTTTTTTTTGCATGATATGAAATTAGAAATAATATGTAATACCTTGAAATGATAGCACAAGCGCTTTTTACACTATATGTATTATATAACAATTGAAGTCAATAGAAGAACTAAAGTATTGTATATATATATGAGTTTAAAAAAAAACATGTAATCTTCTCGAAATGCCAGGATACCTATAGTTTTTGTTCTATCCTAAAATATATTTGTTGATATATTATCAGTTAGAAAAACTGGTGCTTTTATTCGCGTTTCCTGAAAATATATTTGAGATTTGATAATTTTCTCTATGTATAATATGATTAACTTTAATGATGAACCTTGAAGAAATACAACGGGTAAATACACATTACTTTGAGAATTCAGAGACATTTTTGTGATCATTTTTCAATTACTCAACCCCTGATTTTCAGAAGCTTGGATTACCTTTATATTGTAGAGTTGGCTGTACTTGTAAGGTATTGCTTTAATTTAGGTAATAATAACTCAGGTCTACAACCTTGTATACTGCTTGGAAATCAAAGCTTTTAAGGAGAGAAACTGTGAAAACTAATAAAATCAATTTTTTATATCGTTGATAGGTAGATCACATTTAACAGCAAATTAACCCAAGGACAAGTATAAAGATACCTTATAAAGAAAATAATAATGTTGTTCTAGAAATTACATGAGTAACCAAAAAGTAGTTTTAACGACTGATAGAACGGTTATCAGGTTAATCGTTGACAAAACTTTATATTCCCAAAGGTATCTTTGAGATAAACAATGTACAATTATGTAAAATTTTGAGAGGGTGGATTTTTCAGTTTGCGTTAAAGCCTTCTTCTTTATTTCATGAAAATATTATCTCTGTGTACCGTCTGACATTTATAATGAAGTCAAATACTGCAGGCATACATTTTTTCCAAAAGGGATTATTTATGTTAAATTCGCGGGCACTTTACAGCGGAAAATTGTAAGAGCGTACTTAAAGAAGATTTAAGACATACAATGGAAATCCAAGAAATTCGCGTCATTTTCGTGGAATTATATACCTGTGGGAATAAGTAACTTAAATGTATAAAAACATTTTCTTGAATGCAAATATATTATAATAAAGCACAATGAAATTATTTAGAAACTTGATGTCAGTGAGAAATTGTTTAGAAAGGATATATATTAGAGTTCATATATTCATAATTATTATGAATTGAGTAGAAGATTACGCCAGACTAATTCCATAAATATAATGATTTCAGTAGACGATTATGCCAGACAATGGACCAAATTTGAAAAAGAACACCTTGACACTTTGTCAGAATGGATTAAATGTATCAGATGGATGTTGAAATCGCGCATCAAGCGATTGAGGGGCAGTATGTAAACCATCTAACCCTTCTGTCTTCAACAATGTAGAAGTAAAACAAGAATCAGATAGATTACACAATCAGTATGTACTGGTCCCAGCTGACAAAGCAGATAACATTTCTTTGTTTGTAAGGCTCATTAAGTAGTAATCCAACTTATATCCATTCCCCTTTCCAAGGAGGAAATTATTCAAAACCATATATCAGTTTTAAATATTTTTAATATTCCCAACAATCAAAAAAGAATTTGAATTACCATACCAATAGTGGGTTCCAAATCTGCATAACAATCCTTACAAACAAAGATCATAGCGGGTTCTGGAAAATGTTCTACCTTCTAAACTTCAGGAGTACTGTACAACAGAATATTCAAGAAAGGGTGTAAATCAGATGTGGATACTTAAAAACTCCAAGGAACATTTAAGGATATCCGACCCTCAGCCAGGAAGGATAACTCTGAAATTTATTATTTTATTTAAAAAAGTGTCAAAATGAAGGTTGAAATTGAGATCTTTTCATGCAACAATTTTCATTTTATGCATCTCAATATGATTCAAGGTTCTCTGAAGTCTTAGAAACGGTCTTGTAAAACATTGACATTTGTACCCCTTAAAAGAAAAAAAATTAATTACATTTTAGAGAAATCGAATTTCATTTCATCTAACATTAGATACCAATGCTTATTAGCATGATATGAAATAAGACTTGATCTGTGATGTCTAGCAATGAAAGCACATGCTTTTTACAGTATATATTATATAGCAATTAAAGTAAATAGAAGAACTGAAATACTGAATAAGCATAAAAAAGATGCAATTTTCTCCAAATGCCTGGATACATGTATTTTTTTTATCCTAGAATATATTTGTTGATCAATTTTCTATTAGAAAATGCATAGCTGGTGTTTTAATTCGCATGTCCTGTAAACATATTTGAGATTTGATAATTTTCCCTATATAATACGATTAACTATAATGATGAACCTTGAAGAAATGCCATGGGTAAATTCACGTGACTGTGAAATCAGAGACATTTTTGTGAGCATTTTCAATTACTTAAAAGCTGATTTTCAGAACCTAAGGATCGGACCACCTTAAGGACGTACGCAACGTAGTTTAAACTTTATTGTATTTTTCCCTGGAGTTGAAGAGTTCCAATACTTAAAGGAACTGTGTGCTACATTTTAATGTCTATATATGCTGTTATACACTTTTTCTAAAACAAGTTTGGATAAACAAAACTTCTAGAATATATATTAGTATTTATAGCTAGTAATTTTCGTATATTTTTCTTTGAATTATACGAGAATTTTCATCAATTGATATCTTTTCAAAACCCCTGGTAATACATGCTGATTTTTTTGTCTTTGAACATCTGAAGGCTTAAATTATAATGATCCTAAATTAAGAATATCTTGAAAAATTATCAGTAGGTAAGGTACGTTGCGTGTGTCCTTAAGAATTTGAAATCAAAAATTTGTACCAAAATCAATAACATCAAAACGTACGACTTTTCAACACTTTATACAACGATTCCCCACGATAAATTAAAGTCCAACTTTTTGACGTCATAGACAGCTGCTTTTTCAATAAAAATGGAACTCGTAAATATACTTACCTTGTCATTGGTCATTTGCAAAGTTATTTTGTTAAAAAACATTCTGATTGTACACAAAAGTACTCTGAAGTTGATATTAAATGAAATATGAGGATAACAAACAGTATTCAATCTCGAAGGTCCAATGAAACGATACAAATTTGGAGCAGAGCAAACACGGACCTCAAAATTTAGAGATGGGATCAGGTGCCATGGAGGAGTGAGCATCCTCTGCCGACCGGTCACACCCGCTGTGTGCTAAAACGGGAAAATCCGTAGACAGTTCGGTGTACATATATAAATAATGGCCTACTTATGACTTTCTTATGTAGCAATATTCCATCATTACTTGCATATGGAGTATTTGTTTCCCAGATGATACGAAAGAGAATGCTCTACGTATGAACAATTTCTAAAACGAGGCAAGCTATTGACAAACAAGTTTATGAAACAAGTATATCAAGTCTCGTTTGAAGTCATCATTTCACAAGTTTTATGGTCGATACAATGACCGTGTCAGCAAATACAACCTATCATTAAGTCAAATTCTGACTGACAATTTTCATACAAATGGTTAGGCCATTATCGTCTACGGATTTTTTCCTTTTTTTCTCGATCGATCATGACAAGGAGCAGGAGCACACGGCGGGTATTACCGGTCTGCAGGGGATGCTCACACCTCCATGGCACCTGATCCCATCTCTGATGTTTTTGGAGGTCCGTGTTTTCTCTGCTCCCGATTTGTACTGTTTTTATGGACTTTGAGGTGGAATACTGTTCGTTATCTCCATATTTCATATGAGTGATTTTCCTTCTTATATCTGCTGTATATGAATCGGAATACAAGGTCTGACTCACTGATAGTCACATTTCTATACAAACAAACATATTATTGACAAGCGTTCTCTTTTGTATCAATTCATAAAGAAACATACCATCCGGAAATACTTGCAATTATTCAGATCACCATTAGCCTTTTCTCTCCCGAGTTTCTTCCAAGCACAGCATGCCCTGCATTGATAGAAGTCCTCCCGAATTTTACAAATCTCCAGCCCAATACACCGACGATCATCGTTACATTTTATTTTACAATTTATTGCGGCGGAAATCAAACTAAATCCCTCAGCTATGAACAAGACATCAAGGTGATTTGATAAAGATCCCAGAAATCCGATAGAGAAGTGTTCGAAACTCACGAATGCATTACAATGAAACAATAAAACTATTAACCACAGAGTGCTGTAATGTAAGTGCTGGCATGAGGACTTATTCTCCCCAAGGCGCAACCGGCCAGTACTGCTTGATATTTTAAGAAACTTCATTTGAACTCCAAAGTAATGTTATGAACCAATTACTTTAGCATGTGCTCGAGAATAAAAGTTGTATAACTTTTTTGCAAGGTATTTTTAAATATTTGATCTTTTTTTCAAGCAGCATCGCTCATAAAGATTATTTTATTTCATTCA